AGAATAGTGTCTGGCAAATAGCACTCCACAAATACTATCAATTTTGTAGCTATTGTTGAACTTGGAAAGTTTTAGTAAGGAGGTAGCTGTCAACAAACCTGGGAAGCATTTGGAAAGAGAGCTTTACATTGATGGAATGGATCTAAGAGCTGAAGAACAGAGAGCTGTTCATAAGAGCAGGACCCACACCCAGTGGGACAAGGCTGTGAGTCATGCTTGGGGAATGAGGAGGAATTGGGGAAAGAAAACAAAAAGGAGCAGTAATGAGCAGCAGATACTCTGCAAGGGCCAGAAACACCCTGGTGGTGGGCGAGGTGGCAACCAGAGCCCCAGGAGAGGCAGGTGTGGGCCTGCCTGTGAATGGTGGAGAAGCCTTCCGTCACTAGGTAGGAAATGCTGCAGCACCTCTCACGGTGCCGTCCTGATTGGTGCTGCTTGGCCAGTAAGTGTCTCCTCCTGAAACATCTCATCTCCACTGTCTCTGCTCTGGTTCCCCGTTCATTGTCACAACCTCCCCGACACCCTGTACTCTGGCCCAGTGTGAAAGTCACCAATAGCCTTTCCCAGCGATGCTGAGGGTAATGGTCCTATTCAAAACTGCTCCAACCTGCCCTGGGCCCAGAAAAGCCCCATTTCTGGACTTGCCAACGAGGAAGACCTCATATCTGACCCCAGACTTCCCAGCCAACCCCATTTACCACCAATTCTGCAAGTCATGCTTCCTTCATGCCCTTATGCTTCCCTAATTACCTCCCCACATCCTCAACCAGGAACACCATTCTCTAGAGCCTCAGTGGCCACCTTTTCTGCAAAGTATGTCCTGAGCCTCTTCTTTGACTTCCCAAGTTAAGTTTGTTAACTTAGCCAACCCAGGGGATTGTAAAGCATGGAGGGTGACCTTGGATCCATGTCTGCTCCCTGGCCTCCTCTCTGATGCTGTTTCCCTGATCTACCTCTCAGCTGCCATAAACTCATCATCTTTGCCCTACCACATGCTTCTGCCATGATGCTGTTGCCTTTTAGCTAGCCAGCTATGGACTGAATCCCCTGAAACAGTAAGCCTGAGGACCTTCTCCTCCTTCACGTTGTGTGTCCAGTATGTGTCCCAGCAATAGGAAAGCTGACAAGGAAATGATTTAAAACTCTTATGATAATGTTATTTTTTGCCTTGCCTTTTGATCATCTATGCATGGATCCTATTTTTCTTATTAATTTTAATACATGTTTGCAGTATGTAATGTTTGCATTCCTTGTGAAGAGTTGGTATATGTACATAAAACAACTTCATTCCATTTTTCATCCCCTTCCCCGCCTCTCTCTCTTCCTCCCCCTCCATTTCTTGAGCCTCTCTGTATTTGAGAAAGATCTGTCTCCCTGCTTCCTAACGGATTCTGACCCCTCTGTGAGTAGGATTTATATTATTCTTAACGCTCGGAGGCCTAGTCCTTTCTTTGACCTAAGTTGTAATTCAGTGAAAGAAAATAAAACATTGAATGAGTATCTGATTTTAATTATATAGAAACAAGTCCAACACAAAGATCACCCTAAAGTCACCAGAAGTGGATGATCAGAAGCAAAAGGCAGATTCTATGTTCTTGTAGCCTTCAGGGTGGTTTCTCACTGGGCGTTCACAGTGCACAGACTTGAGGGGCAGCACCCTCCTCCCCATCCCTTCCCTCCTCAGTGCTGCTCTCTGCTGTGCTGTGGGCAGCTAGAGTTGAGTGGCCTCCCTTCTGCTGCTGTCAAGTGGACCCGTCCATGAGCTGCTACTTTCTGGCAGATTCTCACTCTGTGTTGTTTGTTTGTTTGTTTGTTTGTTTGCTAGTGCTGGGAGTTGAACTCAGGTCCTTCACACTGAGCTATATCCTCCACTCTTTCTATTTTCTATTTTGAGACAGAGTTTTATTAAGTCACTAAGTTGCCGATGCTGTCCTCAAATTCACAATTCTCCTGCCTCAGCCTCCTGGAGTGCTCAGATCACAGGTGTCCACTGGGAGGCTTAGCCACCTTCTTATTCTTTATCCTGTCCAGCCCCTAATCCCTCACTTGTCTCTTCTGGTCCTTTACCTGGTATTGCTCCAATTTAGACACCATCTTCCCTATTCGAGGAAGTGCTAAATTAACTCACCTACACAGTCAGAATCAGGAGCTTTGGAAATGAGTTTATTGAGGAATTTTCACATTTCCTTCTTGGCTCCTCCTAGTTCCCCTTTGGTCTGTTTGTTTTGAAAACCACTCCTGCTTGTTTTGCTTAGGTTTCCTTAAACATCAGGAAAGGAAGGCACAAGAACTGACATGAATCCTTGCTTCAGAGGTTTAGTTCCAGGATTACTATTTCAACTGTGGTTCTCCACCACCTCACAAGGCATGTGTCTTCATGTGTTTTGTGTACATGAAGGAGAAGAGGAAATTCCAGGCTATCACAGGGAAGGATTACAATGGGAGGCATTAGACCAGTGTCCCCTTTCTGGTCCTTCAAGTCAATAGAAAAAACAATAATTATAAAGAAACTTGGTTTCTACAGGACTGGAGATTGAATCCAGGGCCTTCACACTGGGCAGTCCGTCCTCCTGTCTCAGCCTCCCAGGGATGCATGCACCACCAAGCCCAGATAATACAGAGGCTTCTTAACCAGCAAAATTTGAAATTTGAAAAACTAATCTGGTTTGTTAATAATATTCCACATTTACCTTCTATATGATGGTTTACAGTGCACACACCTATCTCTGCATTAGCAATGGGAAATTGAGCCCTTTTTATTCTCTAGGGCTCAGGAAACTGAGGCTCAGAGGTCTCCTCGCCACACATAAATTCCCAAAGCTGGCAAGAGTGCTTGGCACTGACCCACATTCTCCTGGCTTTCATGTGAAAGCTCAGCCACTGGCCTTGGAGAGGTGGGAGGGGTTGCTAACCAGCTGGTCACAGTCATGGAGCTTGAGCTATGAGAAGCCAGGCCTGGGGAAATTCTTGTATGTTCGTACACGTCAGCATGGTTTTGTTTTCATTTTTTTTTGGTTTTGGGGGCTGAGGGCAGTAGTGAGTCTTGAACCTAGAGCTTCCACCCTGAACTGCATGTCCAGCCCTCTTTTCATTTTTTATTTTGAGACAGAGTCTTGTTAAATCGCTAAGACTGGCCTCAAGCTTGTGACCCTCCTGCCTCAGCCTCAAAGAGTGCTGGCACTGCAGATGTGCACCCCCCCCAGCTGGCGCAAGACGTCGGTACCAGCCCAGCTGCTGGAACAAGGTGACCTGTCGTCCAGCTCATTTCTGTGTCACTTCGGGCACACCCAAGTCTCAGTTTTTTCCACCTGCAAAAGCAAATGAAAGTTTGTGCCCACTATTCTAAACCTTCTGCGGATACTTTTAGCAAAGGAAGGACAAATTGACTTTCTTCTCTGGTCTCTAATTTTCCTAATTTCCCCCCCATAATGATAAGGCAGAGTAGATGATCTCACCCAAGCACATCACCCCATGCCATTCCCCTATCAAATCTATAAGATGTGCAGTATCATCTCCAACTTACAAATGAAGAAATTGCATTTTGTGGAATGAGGAGGGCTAAGCAAAGGAGCATGGTGAGGATGAAAGCTCAGCACTGGGAACACACCGTGATAGAAAACCTCGTGCTGTCAGACTCGGATTCCAACCAGTGGCTCACTGTCTCTCAGTTGTGTTCAGGGTAGTAATGGTGTGCAGGGTGGGAGGAGGCACTAAAAAGAGTGCGGAATTACAGAAGGGAGATCCGGAGATGCCTGCTTTGTTCTGCGTGGGAGGGATAGCAGGCTGTGAAGGGTGCCTACGCCCCTCGGGGGACTTGTCCACCAGTGTCACCTCCTCATATTTGCCTCCAGTCACTGCCACCAAGTGGCAAGTGGCTGCCTTCCCCACTGCACTGGAATGACTGTCACAAATGGACTTTCTTGCTATGAAGACACTGGATCCAATCTACACCTGGATCTCCCTTAGCCAGCTCCATTCACCACTTTCTTAAAACTCTCTCTGGCTTTTGCTCCCTTCCATTCCCCTCATTTCCTTCTCACTCCTCTGGAGATGCTGCGGGTCCCTCCTTGTCTTCAAGTCATCCTTCAACCTCAGTCTTCTTTGCTTGTATCCCTTCCCTGTTCCCTTTTGTTCTCAATTTCATCCATTCCCAGAGCAACAACTTATTTCTACATCGAAATGAGTCTCATGTCTGTAACTGTAGCCCACAGCTCTTTCCTGAATCACCTAGAAGACATTTCCACTTGGACACCTCAAAGCTACTTTAAACCCAACCCAAGGAAGCTCCTCCTAGTTCCTAACTTTCTTCTTCTTCCCTTCTCCTGTGATGAAAGGGACCACAGAGGAGAGACCTCTGTCTGGAGGCCAGGTGTCATTCAGGATGCCACTCTCTTCTGCAGTTCCCACTTCTGATCGCACACAGTCCTCTGCCTTCTGCTCTTAGCATCTTCTCTCTCCCTGTATCTCTACCCTCACTGCTGCCAGCAGAGTTTTTGATGCCACCATGATCTCTGGTGAGTTTTGCAGCAACCTCTGGCAGGGCTTTTCAGCCTGTCCTCATCCCCCGGCGTGATCTCTGTGCTGCAGTCTGTGGTGTCCTCTGCTTCTGCCCCTTCCACGCTCTCTTTGCTGTGCTCTCCTGAAGGAGACATCCAGATCCCTCGTGTGACACCCTGACCCTTCATGTTCTGCTCCCTACCTTTCCAGCTTTATCTTCCCTGACTCTTCATTTATAATTTCGTTTTCAGACGCCCCAAGCTTCCAGCAGTTCTGAATTTGTCAGGTTCCTGTTTCCAGGCTCCAGGATAGGCTACTCTTTACCTACACTGCCTTCTCTGTCTCTTCCAGGCTGATCCGTGAAGATCCTGCAGGTCACCTGAGAGCCTTCCTAGGCTCTTCACCCCCAGGACTCAGGTATGTCTCCTTCTTATGTATTCTCTCAGCATCTTCTATTTGTATTTATCACAAGAAGTAGCACACTCTTTGTGTTTAATGATCCATTTATTTATCTCATCTTCCCTCCAAGCTCCTTATATAGGGATTGCCTTTCACTCACAGTTACAAGTTCAGTCCATCAAACAATGGTTTTCTGAATAAATGAATAAATATGTGAAGTAGCCCAGGTTGGCCACACAGCCTTATTATGCTCTGCAAGCACATTCCATGCCTGGGTCACTCATCAAGTCAGGGGCCAACAGGCCAAACCGTGTCCTAATTTAGGCTTCTAAGAGCCGTGAGAACCACTCGGGTTCCTGTCGCCCAGTGACTCATGTCTAACCCAAGTTTCACTCTGAATTTTCAGATTCAAAACAGAAAACGTGCTTGCTGGGCAACTTTAGCTTCAACTGAGATGCAATGACACATCTTTGTACCATTTCACCCCAGCGTTACCTCTTTTCTTGGTTCAACACCCCTATTTCCCAACCGTGATGTTCACAGTGGCATTTCAGAGAAGGATACAGATCATAAACCAGTCTCCCCACTTCCTAGAAGCCTCTGATATGGAAACCATATGAATGACTAGCTTCCTTATCCGCTACACATGATTCTCCTGAATCTATTTGCAAATCATATTGGACTCTGATTCCCAGGCATCCATTCTGACCACGACAGAGTTTAAAGGATTTACTCTGAAAAGAAGACCTGCGTAAACAGCCAAAGTTGACCTTCTGATGTTTGTTTTCTGATTTTATTTAAAGCCATTTTCAGTTATAGATGTTGTTCTGCTACACAATTCCAATATAATAATGACTGTCTATTCCTTCAACAAATATCTACTGAACGTCAAACATGATGGGTATTGTTACAGGAATTTAAGGCACAAAGATGAATGAGATTCAGGCATTGGCTACAGAATGTCTACTACAAAGAAGAAACTTAAGAAAAAGAAAAAGAAAAAATGTATTAAAGCAAAATGAGCACAGTTCTCCCAGATGATCCAATAGATAATTATATTTTTGTAATCTGTTTGCTTGTATGTAATTGTTGCGCTATAGTACTGATCTGATCGTAGAGCATTCTGACTTAAGAGAAATTTTGCGTGGGAATAACTCAACTTTAATCCTTTCAATTATTTTGTTTTGACTCCTTCGGACTTTGTTATTGTTTTTATTAAAGAAAATACAACAAAAATGGACTTATTATCCCACACGGGAGATTCAGGCTGCCCTGAACTCACTATGGAGCCCAGCTGGCCTTGAACTGACAGCAATCCTCCTAGCTCAGCCTCTTGAGTCCTGGGATCACAGGTGTGTGCCACCATGCCCAACACTTCAGTTGTATTCTTTATTTACTCTTTCTCTTTCCTGATCCTTTTGGTTTGGACCAGAAGGAGAACTGCTTTTAGGGTTGAGCGGTATAAAAAGCTCTTGTATTTTTATTGACACAGCCACTCAAAGGAAAACTAGGGATAAGAGCCTATGCTTGTAAGCCAAGCAATCTAGGAGGCTGAGGCAGGAGGCTTGTAAGTTGGAGCCCAGCCTGGGCAACTGAGCACCTTAGCCAGACTCTGTCCCAAAATAAAAAATAAGAAAAGAACTGGGGTTGTAGCTCAGTGAGAAGGCTCTGGATTCAATTTCCAGTGCTACAAATAACTAACTACTAACTAAACAAATCAAAGAAAATCTGGGAAATTCTAGAACAAGTTCCACTTTCAATTTCAGCCCTAATTTTCTCTGCAAACCAAATTGAGAATAGGAAGAATTTAGAAGCAAATGGTAACTCAGATCCTGCTTCCGATCTCCCTTCTGCAGGCAGAGGAGACCCACGATGGGCGGTGGGAGCTGTCACCCCCAACAGTGCAGGGGAGCTGGCGGGTGAGAGGTGGAGAGGAAACTCGTGTCTTCTTCCCCAGGTTGTTCATTCACATGCAGGTGACAGAGTTGATGGTGTTTCCAGGTTGTGCCATAGATTGTGCCGTAGAAGAATATTTTCGATGCTTCATTTGGAACCTGAAAATTAATGGATAAAGTCTCTTAAATCATGAATTAAATAGGCAAAGGTGAACTGTGGTCCATTCTATTTCCGTATGTTCCAAGCAGAGCATACTGCAGAGCTGCAGGCATTAAAACTGCCTGTCAATCATTTCCACCTGTAGGGTTCACACACACATCTGAGCCTTACTCATTTGCTCTATAGCACTTCACCACTAGGCCACATCTCCCTCAGGGAAGGGAACCATTACCTGGCCAATGGCCAAGTCAGAAATCTACAAATCATTCTCACTTCTGTCTCTAGCATCTTGCAAACCAATCCATGTCCCACACACTGGTCAATCTACGTGAAAAGTGAGAATTATCATATGGTGAGTTGGAATGAGAGAAAGAAGGCAAAATTCTATTGTCTGTGTCTTGGGATAGAATACTATTCTTTTTTATGCTTCACTTTTTAATTTATTCCACTTGTAACAGTCATTCTTCTTCTGTATGCCCAGCCCAGGTTCATGTTGGGTTTTAGGGAACAGTAATCCTACAAAACACAACACACACACACACACACACACACGCGGAAACAGCACCATGATCACAGGCAGCCCAACCACCAAGCAGTCTACTAAACACTACAAAGAATTCAGACACTAAAATTCCTACGGATTCACATTCATTCAAATATCGATATATTTAACAGATGTGTGATAAAATAAGGAATCAAAAGTAGGATTAAGGGATTATAGAAATGATCAGGCATATTTGAAAAGCAATTTTCTAGAAATTAACACTATAATAATTCACATTGAGTTTAAACAAGATGAAGACAGAACTGAGGTAATTATCCACGACAAAGTACAGCAAGGCAAGTAGGCATAAATTATAAAATAAAAGGTAAAAAACGTGGAACAAACCTCTACAATATGAAGACTATCAGAGCTTCAGAGCTCCAGAAAGTATTTATTAAGAAAAGATGGGGAGAGAAAATTTAAAGTCATCCAGACTGTATCTTTCAGGACTCATGAGAATCTAAGTCTTCAAATTCTGTCACCTGACTTACCTCCAGTAGGATAAATTTACATGATCTAGAAATATTCTAGGGAACCTGAAAGCCACTGAAGAATTAAAAAAATAAAATACAATAAGAGCATCGGGAAATATAGGCACACTTCCTACTAAGGAAGAATAAATGTGCAGATTCTTACCCATTTCACCAGCTGTGGAAACCAGGAGACAAAGAAAAGATGTGTTCAAACTGTTAGGAGACAATAACTGCCAACAAACACCGTTCAAGAATAAGAGCAAAATTTAAAAACTTCACATAAGCAAATTTAACAAATTCATTACCCATAGACACACATTGCACAAATTTAAAAATACATTTTTAGGAAGAAAGAACAGGACATCGGAGGGCTGGGGATTTAGCTCAGTGGTTCTGCCACCTGCCTCACAAGCACAAGGTCCTGAGTTTGATCCCCAGTACCAAAAGAAAAAGAAAAAGCCACATCTATAGGGGCCGAGGATTAAGCTCAGTGATTTCGCCACCTGCTGCGCAAGCTCAAGGACCCGAGTTTGATCCCTGGTACCAAAAAAGAAAAAAAAAAAAAAAAAGAACAGGACATCGGGGGAAAGTTTGAAAAAGAAAATGTGATCGGAGACACTAGTTGGAATAAATCTAAATAGATATTGATGACAAAAAATAGAATCATAATGAAAGCACCTAGTGGATAGGATTATAAAAAAGAAGAGAAACTTAATGCCAACAATTATATTCAGAAAGGAAATGATGGGAATAAAATAAATTAAAAGCTGAATATTGTTTAGGAAGAAGGTAAAGCTATTAATTTACTTTATACTATCCCAATTTAATTGCCATAGTATCTAGGGTAGTGGGTAAGAAAAGGTAATCTGGTTGATTTCCAGATCAGTAGAAAAGATGGACAAAGAAATTATACTTAATCTACTCAGAGAAAGATAAGAACTTTTTAAAAATGAAATAAATAGAATGCAGAAAAAACAAAATTCACAAAATAACCTGAAAGTGGATTAGTAATAACACAAAAATATAAACAGTATTAGAGGACATATGAAAAAATGCAAATGTATTCAGAACGAGATTACTACCCAAGACACAAAGATACAGAAATAGTTTTATGTATATGTCTTCAAGAAAAAGACAAAGACCAAGCATAGACTGTGGAAGCCCTTGAAGTTGCCAATGCTGAGACAAAATTATGCAATTTTCCTGTCAGCGATTTTCCCCCAAAGAGAAATACTCCTAATGGCGCAGAGCTCTGTCTTCATGGAGATCTGTTTTCCTTCTGTGATATCTTAGTGTGAGGCCTTGAGGTTTTTACCACTATTACAGATGTCCCACTCTGCCTCCAAATGCAATAGGGGGCTCATTTTTCCATGATACAAATGTCAGATCTCCCCCTTCTTTGCCATCTTGCAGTGAGGACAGCAGTCGTGGCTTTTTACAATTATTCCCTGGGAGACAAAAATCCACTGTGCTGATCAACTGTTTTACCCATCCATGCCACTGGAGACCCTTCACACTGGTTAGTCACTGTCTGCATGCACATTCCAGCTCTGCCTGAGGTTGTGGCCATCGCTGTAGACAGCACAGTGGGAGGTGGTAACAATCCAGCCAGGACACCCGCATTGTGCCTTGACGCTGCCTTTTTTTCTTTTTTTGGTACTGGGGATCGAATTCAGGACCTTGTGCTTGAGAGGCAGGTGGCGGAGCCACTGAGCTAAATCCCCAGCCCAGGCTTTTTTTAATCTATAACTTTCTGAAACTTTGAACTGAGCTGAGGACAAGCCCACTTCTGGACTCCGTGGACCTTTGGATTCTTGAAACATTCTCTGCTAACCTCCATTTACCTTCTATATAAGGGACCCCTTTCCAGGCACTGAGACGACACCTAAATCCTCTCTTACAGCAGCCTTACTTCTACCAACACCTATCCTAATGCTTGACTGACCTGTAAAGTAATTTCCAACCCCCTTGTGGTCTAAAGCTATAAATACAGCTGCCATTTTTAAAACCCAGAAGCACTTATTCTGAGCAACCAGACCACTTGTTTCCTTGGTGACTATCCTGGTTTTGGCTTACATAATCTCTTTGTTATCACCTGGGGTGCCTCAACTTGTCTTTTGGGTTGATGGTACAGTCAAGTCAATGGACTCAAAAGAATAAAGAATTGACTTGGTTGTACAGAAGCACTTCACAAATACATACAATACTGCATATGAAGTATGTGACTAAGTCGAGCACCCCTCACTTGATTAGTCTGAAGCAGTTAATTCTGTACATACTGAGTTGTGGCCTCACAAAGTTGAAGAATGAAATCTTCAGTTGAAGAATGGACAAAAGAATGAAGTTCATAGAGAAGTTATAGGGAGGAAGGAGAAGAAAAGTAGCTCCTGGATTTCCAGTGCGTGTCCAGAGTGGGTGGTCATGGGCTCCTTGGTGCGGAGCAACTTACAGACAAGCGCAGCACAGGAAGTCCTGTGTTACTCAGTGGCCACCTATCACTGGCAGCTCTGCAGATTTAAAACAACCAGTTTCAACTCAGCCTCTCTAACCCAATTCCTCAACATGTAAGGTTTAAAGAAAACTGGAATTTTAAAGAAAAACCAGTTATTTTGCATTTTAAGTTCTTCAAAGCTCAAGAGTTTAGTAGGAAGGGGCTGGCATTCCCTTTAATAAGGAGGGGCTGCAGTCCATGTTGCCTGAGAAAGTTCACTCTTTGTCCAAAGCTCTAGTTCACTGCCTATTCTTATTTTAATTCTTACCAATATGGCTGATCACCCACCTCTATCTCAGGCCTTACTCACAAGCTAACTAATGAACAATAATTTTCCACTAGGTAAAGACTGTTGGCACATACATCTTCTAGACAAGGAATCAAGAGCCCAAAGAAGTACTACAACTTTCTCAAGGTCAGGAATGAAACCCAAGGTTGTCTAACCAAGGCTGTCTGTGCTGTGGGTAAAGGGGCGTCTCAGTCAGGAAGGTGGTGGCTTCCTGGCCTTCTAAGGCTCTGCTGTCACCACTGTGAGACCACAGAGGGTCAGAACATGCTTCACCTTCCTGGCAGGACTTTACAGGTTGGTCCCTGTGGACTGGGCACCTTCCAGGGTGACACTGAACTTCAACTCCACAGCTCAGTTTGTTTGTTTTCTATGAGGAAGACAACAGAAATTGGCCACACCACTGAATCATATCCAAAGCTAAAGAACCCCAAACGGCTGCAGGTATAAACTTTTGATGGTTTCAAAATGGATAAGAAAACAGCAAAAGTGAAAAAGGAGAGTAAAGGGGAAAAAACACCTTCCTTAATCAGCAGAGACACTGAACAAACAGATGAGTAAGAGGAAGTGTTTGAAGGCGAGGTGAGATATGGAGGAGGAGAATCTCAGGAAACACCTTTATCACAGAGAGCGGGCTTCCTTTCAGGCTGAGTTCTGAAAGCTGAAATAAATAGCCTGCTTCCAAGAATGCTGTTTTCTCAAAGGGCGAAGAGCAAACACATTAAAGTGTTCTGTGTCTTTGGCAAGGCAGCTGAAGGGAAATTCTTCCTCCTTCTGGACTGATGTGCACACATGCTCACCAGCAGGATCAGAATAAACATCCAGCCAAGTCAAGGGTCACTATGACTTCTTAGAGCATCAATTTTCTCACTTAAAATGACAGCAATACCATTATATGGTTGCTGTGAAGAGAAGAGAAAAGCATCCAGAAAAAAACTCTAAAGACTGCTTTTCATATGACGTAAGCTACAATAAAACCCTGTTACTTCCTTGTGGCTCTGTACTGAATACAGTCACAAGTCTAAGTCTGGCGTGTGATCTGACTTTTATAAAGACAATGCCTCAGATATTTCAGAATGGCAGCCTGGTGTGCAAATGTCAGTCCAGGTTAATTTAGGTAAATACTTTTTGCTAAGAGATTTCTAGCTGGTCTTGTGAGGCAGATAAGAGAGGTATTTCTCACTTAACATTTTCCCTTGGAAAAA